TCAAGCCCCTGCCGGAGGAGCTTTTGTGCGCGCTGTCTCCTGCTCGCCCTGCGCAGGTGCGCGCTCCATTCGGCGCGCTGCGAATGCCAAAGGACCCGGAGCTGTGGCTGCCCGAAGATGTGGCAAACGAGCAAGACGTGGTTGCCTTTGTCTCGTACATTCGGTCGTACAAGGAGCATCTGCTGAAGCACGTGCTGAACTACAAAGAGCTTGACTTCGCAGGGCTAACAGACCTGTACTGTCTGAAGCGCCTGCCGCACGTGCCTGAGATGCGGGGCGTGCACATTCCGCGGCTACCTGCCCTTCCAAAGAAGAAGGAGTGCGTGCCATTTGAGTTGGTTGAGGGCACAGGCCCAGAGGGCACCCCCGCAGAGGATGCGCCATGTTCTGCTCCTCCAAGAAAGGCCCCCGCTAGAAGAACGCGCCGCGCTAACATACCCAACATATACAAGCGACAGAAGCGATAGATGATAGCTGAAGAAATATAGCGCTATACAGTATAATAAATATATTCACTGATATTGCTGTATACTGAAGGTACGCATGTGCATACACATAGTCTGTCCGTATTTATTTGTGCGTAAGCACACATTCTTTCTCTACATATATATGCTATGTGCTATTGCAGTGTTTTTTATTGGTGATATCGGGCTATACCTCTGCATACTTATTATATTCTATGCGGAGTGCATTGAGATTAGAGTAGACTTCTGGCTATATACTATACAGGTGCTGTGTATAGACATGCTATGCAAAATACTTGGTCTGTGATATGGTATTCTAGAATATTTATTGTTTGCAATCCTTGCTATAATACGCTGCAGGGTTTTAATTCATGTGTCTGCTGCTTCTACAGAGTACTCTCTTCTGTAGCTGCTGGCTGTGATGTATTTTCCTCCTGCGGTGCTTCTCTTGGCCTTCTTGGCGCCCTCACAGGCTTCTGCGCCTTCTCTGGGTGCAGTGTTGCAGTAACATGCAGCAGAACTCCCTTTAGCCCGCTGTGGTGCCGCGCTGCCAGAACTGTGCCCATGTATGTCTCCAGCGCAGCCAGGCTCTCTGGCGCGTCTTTTAGCGCGCGCACTGCCTGCTTTGCCACTGGCGTAAACGCATGGAGGTTGATCTTCTCTGGGCGAATCTTTCCAAGCACAGACAAAAGCCTCTCCTTGGGCAGTCGCGCGATCCCCACGCCTCTCAGGGAGTGCACTGTGCATGCCTTCTCTGTCAGCGCGTATATGCACAGCTTCTCTATCGCATGCACTGTCTCGCTGCTCTCTGGAAGGGTCTGCAGCGCGGACAGAAGTGCCTGTGCATACACAAAGTCGTGCACGCCCGTGCGCATGCTCTGCACGTACTGCGACGTGGCCTCCACAAGAGCCTGCTCTCCGCGCTGTGTTCTGAGCACTGCAAGCCCAAGCGCGCGTACCTTCTCCTCTGGAACTGTCTCTTTGTGCACCTTCTTGTATATAGCGAGCACTCTCTTCCACACGGGCAGCGGAGA